CAATTCGGACCCTCTATCTGCCCCACACGCCGAGCAATCGTCAAAAAAGTAAGAATTTTTTTTGGTATACTGCAAAATTTCAAATGCGAATATCTCGAAAACTAATAGACCAAGTGTCATAAAATTTTCACAGAATTTAATAAACACTATGAGTTTAATCGAAATCCGAGATGATAAGACTTTTTCATCAAAAAATTTTTAGTGCATTTGATCAGCTTCATTTTTGAGTTTTCGGCAGTTTTAACCAGGAAAGCATACGAGTATTAAAATAATTATTATATGACGTTATATTTCGCTATATGACCTACAATTAATTTCCAATTCGGACCCTCTATCTGCCCCACACGCCGAGCAATCGTCAAAAAAGTAAGATTTTTTTTGGTATACTGCAAAATTTCAAATGCGAATATCTCGAAAACTAATAGACCAAGTGTCATAAAATTTTCACAGAATTTTACTAACACTATTGTGCATAAACACTATGAGTTTAATCGAAATCCGAGATGATAAGACTTTTTCATCAAAAAATTTTAGTGCATTTGATCAGCTTCATTTTTGAGTTTTCGGCAGTTTTAACCAGGAAAGCATACGAGTATTAAAATAATTATTATATGACGTTATATCTCGCTATATGACCTACAATTAATTTCCAATTCGGACCCTCTATCTGCCCCACACGCCGAGCAATCGTCAAAAAAGTAAGAATTTTTTTTGGTATACTGCAAAATTTCAAATGCGAATATCTCGAAAACTAATAGACCAAGTGTCATAAAATTTTCACAGAATTTTACTAACACTATTGTGCATAAACACTATGAGTTTAATCGAAATCCGAGATGATAAGACTTTTTCATCAAAAAATTTTAGTGCATTTGATCAGCTTCATTTTTGAGTTTTCGGCGGTTTTAACCAGGAAAGCATACGAGTATTAAAATAATTATTATATGACGTTATATCTCGCTATATGACCTACAATTAATTTCCAATTCGGACCCTCTATCTGCCCCACACGCCGAGCAATCGTCAAAAAAGTAAGAATTTTTTTTGGTATACTGCAAAATTTCAAATGCGAATATCTCGAAAACTAATAGACCAAGTGTCATAAAATTTTCACAGAATTTTACTAACACTATTGTGCATAAACACTATGAGTTTAATCGAAATCCGAGATGATAAGACTTTTTCATCAAAAAATTTTTAGTGCATTTGATCAGCTTCATTTTTGAGTTTTCGGCAGTTTTAACCAGGAAAGCATACGAGTATTAAAATAATTATTATATGACGTTATATCTCGCTATATGACCTACAATTAATTTCCAATTCGGACCCTCTATCTGCCCCACACGCCGAGCAATCGTCAAAAAAGTAAGAATTTTTTTTGGTATACTGCAAAATTTCAAATGCGAATATCTCGAAAACTAATAGACCAAGTGTCATAAAATTTTCACAGAATTTTACTAACACTATTGTGCATAAACACTATGAGTTTAATCGAAATCCGAGATGATAAGACTTTTTCATCAAAAAATTTTTAGTGCATTTGATCAGCTTCATTTTTGAGTTTTCGGCAGTTTTAACCAGGAAAGCATACGAGTATTAAAATAATTATTATATGACGTTATATCTCGCTATATGACCTACAATTAATTTCCAATTCGGACCCTCTATCTGCCCCACACGCCGAGCAATCGTCAAAAAAGTAAGAATTTTTTTTGGTATACTGCAAAATTTCAAATGCGAATATCTCGAAAACTAATAGACCAAGTGTCATAAAATTTTCACAGAATTTTACTAACACTATTGTGCATAAACACTATGAGTTTAATCGAAATCCGAGATGATAAGACTTTTTCATCAAAAAATTTTTAGTGCATTTGATCAGCTTCATTTTTGAGTTTTCGGCAGTTTTAACCAGGAAAGCATACGAGTATTAAAATAATTATTATATGACGTTATATCTCGCTATATGACCTACAATTAATTTCCAATTCGGACCCTCTATCTGCCCCACACGCCGAGCAATCGTCAAAAAAGTAAGAATTTTTTTTGGTATACTGCAAAATTTCAAATGCGAATATCTCGAAAACTAATAGACCAAGTGTCATAAAATTTTCACAGAATTTTACTAACACTATTGTGCATAAACACTATGAGTTTAATCGAAATCCGAGATGATAAGACTTTTTCATCAAAAAATTTTTAGTGCATTTGATCAGCTTCATTTTTGAGTTTTCGGCAGTTTTAACCAGGAAAGCATACGAGTATTAAAATAATTATTATATGACGTTATATCTCGCTATATGACCTACAATTAATTTCCAATTCGGACCCTCTATCTGCCCCACACGCCGAGCAATCGTCAAAAAAGTAAGAATTTTTTTTGGTATACTGCAAAATTTCAAATGCGAATATCTCGAAAACTAATAGACCAAGTGTCATAAAATTTTCACAGAATTTTACTAACACTATTGTGCATAAACACTATGAGTTTAATCGAAATCCGAGATGATAAGACTTTTTCATCAAAAAATTTTTAGTGCATTTGATCAGCTTCATTTTTGAGTTTTCGGCAGTTTTAACCAGGAAAGCATACGAGTATTAAAATAATTATTATATGACGTTGTATCTCGCTATATGACCTACAATTAATTTCCAATTCGGACCCTCTATCTGCCCCACACGCCGAGCAATCGTCAAAAAAGTAAGAATTTTTTTTGGTATACTGCAAAATTTCAAATGCGAATATCTCGAAAACTAATAGACCAAGTGTCATAAAATTTTCACAGAATTTTACTAACACTATTGTGCATAAACACTATGAGTTTAATCGAAATCCGAGATGATAAGACTTTTTCATCAAAAAATTTTTAGTGCATTTGATCAGCTTCATTTTTGAGTTTTCGGCAGTTTTAACCAGGAAAGCATACGAGTATTAAAATAATTATTATATGACGTTGTATCTCGCTATATGACCTACAATTAATTTCCAATTCGGACCCTCTATCTGCCCCACACGCCGAGCAATCGTCAAAAAAGTAAGAATTTTTTTTGGTATACTGCAAAATTTCAAATGCGAATATCTCGAAAACTAATAGACCAAGTGTCATAAAATTTTCACAGAATTTTACTAACACTATTGTGCATAAACACTATGAGTTTAATCGAAATCCGAGATGATAAGACTTTTTCATCAAAAAATTTTTAGTGCATTTGATCAGCTTCATTTTTGAGTTTTCGGCAGTTTTAACCAGGAAAGCATACGAGTATTAAAATAATTATTATATGACGTTATATCTCGCTATATGACCTACAATTAATTTCCAATTCGGACCCTCTATCTGCCCCACACGCCGAGCAATCGTCAAAAAAGTAAGAATTTTTTTTGGTATACTGCAAAATTTCAAATGCGAATATCTCGAAAACTAATAGACCAAGTGTCATAAAATTTTCACAGAATTTTACTAACACTATTGTGCATAAACACTATGAGTTTAATCGAAATCCGAGATGATAAGACTTTTTCATCAAAAAATTTTTAGTGCATTTGATCAGCTTCATTTTTGAGTTTTCGGCAGTTTTAACCAGGAAAGCATACGAGTATTAAAATAATTATTATATGACGTTGTATCTCGCTATATGACCTACAATTAATTTCCAATTCGGACCCTCTATCTGCCCCACACGCCGAGCAATCGTCAAAAAAGTAAGAATTTTTTTTGGTATACTGCAAAATTTCAAATGCGAATATCTCGAAAACTAATAGACCAAGTGTCATAAAATTTTCACAGAATTTTACTAACACTATTGTGCATAAACACTATGAGTTTAATCGAAATCCGAGATGATAAGACTTTTTCATCAAAAAATTTTTAGTGCATTTGATCAGCTTCATTTTTGAGTTTTCGGCAGTTTTAACCAGGAAAGCATACGAGTATTAAAATAATTATTATATGACGTTGTATCTCGCTATATGACCTACAATTAATTTCCAATTCGGACCCTCTATCTGCCCCACACGCCGAGCAATCGTCAAAAAAGTAAGAATTTTTTTTGGTATACTGCAAAATTTCAAATGCGAATATCTCGAAAACTAATAGACCAAGTGTCATAAAATTTTCACAGAATTTTACTAACACTATTGTGCATAAACACTATGAGTTTAATCGAAATCCGAGATGATAAGACTTTTTCATCAAAAATTTTTAGTGCATTTGATCAGCTTCATTTTTGAGTTTTCGGCAGTTTTAACCAGGAAAGCATACGAGTATTAAAATAATTATTATATGACGTTGTATCTCGCTATATGACCTACAATTAATTTCCAATTCGGACCCTCTATCTGCCCCACACGCCGAGCAATCGTCAAAAAAGTAAGATTTTTTTTGGTATACTGCAAAATTTCAAATGCGAATATCTCGAAAACTAATAGACCAAGTGTCATAAAATTTTCACAGAATTTTACTAACACTATTGTGCATAAACACTATGAGTTTAATCGAAATCCGAGATGATAAGACTTTTTCATCAAAAAATTTTAGTGCATTTGATCAGCTTCATTTTTGAGTTTTCGGCAGTTTTAACCAGGAAAGCATACGAGTATTAAAATAATTATTATATGACGTTGTATCTCGCTATATGACCTACAATTAATTTCCAATTCGGACCCTCTATCTGCCCACACGCCGAGCAATCGTCAAAAAAGTAAGAATTTTTTTTGGTATACTGCAAAATTTCAAATGCGAATATCTCGAAAACTAATAGACCAAGTGTGAGTTTAATAGACACTATGAGTTTAATCGAAATCCGAGATGATAAGACTTTTTCATCAAAAAATTTTTAGTGCATTTGATCAGCTTCATTTTTGAGTTTTCGGCAGTTTTAACCAGGAAAGCATACGAGTATTAAAATAATTATATGGCGTTATATCTCGCTATATGACCTACAATTGATTTCCAATTCGGATCCTCGGACTTACGAAAATTATTAAAATGTTTCATGTATCAGGAGCCCACTCCCGCTTTCGTCATTCTCTTATCTCTAATGCGCTCGTGTCTTTGCTTCTTCCGCTGATAAGTATATCTGTATGATATTTCATTGAATTTCGCTTTCATTCAAATTCAATTTAAACTGTTTGTAATACGTATGTAACATATGGCTAAGTTAAAAAATAAGTAAAATATAGGGATCGAGTTTTTTAATATTTAATCAGATATATTACTAGTATAAGATATAGATATAGTACTAGCGCAATATGCTTCGCGACGAATATACTTGTCATGAGCTCGATTCAGACTATACACACTGTTAGATGTGAGCGCCACTGCTAATTGGTTAAAATACATGATACATGATTAGATTTAATATTGTAGAGAAATGAAATGAACGCTTTCCTTACATTAATAACATCCATATGTTTATTGATGTGCAATTCTAGAAATGCCGTACCCAAAATACAAAATTTACAGCAGTCTTGGCAGCACGTTCTATCATAATAAAATAAATCCCATACGAAATCCGAAGTACTAAAAGATGCTTTCATCTAAATTTAAATTGAATATTCATTAATTCGTACGTTATAATTTATTCCTCTCTGTATATCGTATCGTATCCGCATTTCATGTCTAAAGTGTCTTCTGCGTCACGTTGCATGCATTTTGTATCTTTGTTTGTTTGCTCTCGACTCGAATGTGCGTTCTGACGAGCTCTCTATTCCTCTCTTTTGGGTTGCAGTAACTTCGTTACTTGTGCAGACACAAAATGCAAATTAAGGTATGTGATGCCTCCTCCAAGATTTATATATTCCGGCAGTAATTTGAATACACTTACTATGTCAGTTTATTTGACGTAAATGTTGTAATAATTGACACGGCAGAGAGAGGTTTGGATGATGTCAGTTGCAAATGACTGCTCTCTAAGAGCTTATGAGATGATGGCGGATTTTAATTAATAATTTTCAATCTCATGAGATTAGATGTGACTAATGCGCTAAATTCTTATTTACCAAGTCTGTCCTATAGATTTCTATTTGTCAACGCTGAACATTTTCATCAAAATTGTCTATCATATTTTATCTCGAAGGAGAAGTTTACGTTCTCGAAAAAAAGTCTGATTTGCTAATTTTTTGTATTTTGACGTTTCGAGTCATTCTGAATCGAATGAGACTAAATTTAGAAAAGATATGAGTCTCTGTTCATTTTTGACATTTGAATTGAGTACTAGCGTTAGTCAGTTTTGTGAGACAATCAGCCAAGCCATTTCATTTTTTATCAAAAAAGTCGAAAATTTTCCAAACTAGCTGTAAGTGGAATTCTGTCTTAAAAGGCAATTAGGGCATCGTGCCTTAAGGCAAATTGCTGGAACTTTCCGTACCGCAATTCAAAATTCGAGTAATTAAAAATAATCAATAATAATGATCAATAAAAGTTGATTAATGATTTTTAATAGAATTTCGAACCATATTAAATCATTCTATCTTAAATCATTTATTTGGAAACTCTGAACTTTTTTTCAAAGCAATCGTACTGCTTTAACTGCATAAAGACGAAATATCAAATTGCGTTCCCGAAATCGTCGACGAAAATTTGTATTCAAACATACATACATACACGCACACGCACACACAACCATTTTTTCTAAGGTATGCCAAAATGTTCAGAAGGTTTCCCTGCGGGAAGTTAAAAAAAGCGATTTTAAAAATTTTATAAACTATTTGAAAAATATTGGTTGGGAATGATACTGCTTACTTTTTGCTTTGAGGCAAAATGTTACTTATAACTAGTTATTCATGTCAAATATCTCGCCCAACGCTCGGTCTATTACCGACAAACAAATCGACTATTTTTAGCGTTTTCTATCAGCCGTTTTCTGTGCAAAGCCGTAGCTTGTCTATTGTCATATGAAAAGCGGAAAAAGCGTCTTTTAATACGCACATTTTCTCCACAAAGAGAAGAAACCAGATGCGTCAGTTTACCCTTTCTTGTAAATCCTATTCGACGTCGAATTGTTTGCAGATAACATGAAGGCTACGAAGGAACGAATATAGGGTTAACAAATGAAATCCTTAGACCTTAGTGCTCACAGATTTCTAAACTTATCTTAAAGGAGAATCAATTTAAGTATAATTTGGAAGCGATTTGATCTATTTATATGGTACGCATTTTCTCCTTAAAAATGATTGTGTCTTCAGATTTTTCAGAAATGAAGTAATTGCTGATTTATTATGTTATTTTTTAAATTTATTGTGTTAGATTATGTTAAACAACGCCTAAATAAATATTGTTTTTGCAACTTCACGCATCATGTAATTGTGTTTGAAGAACTTCCTGTAATTAAAATTAACATACTTTCATTGACTGATGGTATTTTTGTTTACTTTTTCACTTGCGATATAATCTCATTTTTTGAACAGCTGTAATATTTGGTTTGCTTAAAAAATATTTTCCATTTCAATAACTTCAAAAATTTATAGAAACTACGAATAATATAGAAATTATTTCAATAAACTTATATTTCATACACGGCACAAATACTACATTTGTTTTATTATTTTCGTGATTTTACGGGAGACAGAATAAAATATTCTTCTGATTCAGGCATTTTTAATCAAATAAATTTTAGTCTTACGATGTAACTTTGAAATGTTTATTTATCTATGCCCATTTCCTTGTTGATATCGGTACACATACAGCGTTGACGCCGGTACGCATACAACGACAGATCTCTATTCACATACACGATGACAAATCACAATCGACCCGTATAGAAATGATATCATCGAGAGCGAATGACGAATCATTGGCAGTCGACTTTTATCTTATCTTATCTGCCGTTACGCACTTCCGTTGCATTTGTACGAATTCACACCCTAGTCACGCCTAAAGAAGTTTCACTTCAAAAATAGATGTTATACGATTTTCACTGAGAGTGATTATAAAATTTTATAAAAATAGGTTGAACCATTTCGGTGTAATATTGCCACTAACAACATGACACGAAAATTTCATATATAGCTGTCCAAATTAATATAAATTCATGACTTTTAATAGTATTTATGACACCGTGCCACCCATTCATATATTGTCTAAATATCAGGCATATGTATTTTAGTTGTAATTTATTAACACAGAGTAACAAAGATTGATTGCATAGTTGAAATATATACAAGTAAAGTGTATATCCATGGTATATAAAAATATTAATCCGCTTGTATTTTATATTTTGCTCGCTTTGAGAATCTCAGCCCTAAAAAGGCTCGAAAAGCTTGTTTGAGTCTTAAATCCCACGAGATGAGAGAGGATTTGCACTGTTCTGTGCGAATACCATTTTAGGGCGGATAAATACGTATGCCTGTAAAAGTCGAATTTATACGTGTATTTTAGATAAATACTAAGAAAAATTCAATTAAAATATAAAATAATTATGTTTTACATCGAAACTAGTTCTAGTTGACGCACGATTTTGGTTCGAAGACAATTACACTACATGGACTGCTAGTCTTCAAATGTTTTCAGTTGTATATAGTGCTCAATCATAAAAGGGTATGTGACGTCACATGTCTGAACGAACATTGCCGACGACAATCGCGTCCTCTCCCATTTGATCGAATGTCATATGTTACGTGCCTAACATAGGCCTTATAATATATAAACCGATTTTAACAGCTGGATTTATCGATATCATCAATATCATTTCTTACAAAACTTTCAGCCATCACAATTTCCATTATATTATTAAAATAAAAAATATGACATATGACATTTAATTAATTGGGAGAGTCCGCGATTGTCGTCGGCTATATTTGCTCAGACATGTGACGTCACATACCCATCTTGTTTGAAACTTAGCCTTGCGAGTCCATGATGTTAGTATGATCAACAATTGCACAAATTTTTATTGCCTATTTTTTGGCATTGCAATTTAAGCTAAGTCTCGTCTCTAAATTTTGACAAGTGTGACCAATATAAGAAGAATCACAATCTAAACAGTTAATTTTTCATACTACTTCCCAATACAAACTGCATTTGGTCTCTAATTTTGGGATTTAGTAATGGTTTTTGACTATTAAATTAATACAAATACAGTGTAAATGTTAAGGTGTGATGATGAGACAAATCATTGTCTCGAAACATTTGTAATTTAGATCTTTATGGAAAGCATAAAGTGAATAATATGTATTGACATATATAAATAATAGCAAAATAGTAGATTATATATTGTGAGAGACAAATAGAGACATATATAGATAAATACTATAGAGAGTGTAATTAGAGAAAATAAACAAGTAATGTTATTATATATATATATATATATATATATATATATATATATATATATATATATATATATATATTATTCTGAACTGATGATCTGCAAACTCACCAAACACTTCCCTAAAAGTATCTTATTCGCGGAATATTTCGCATATTTATGGCAATACATTGCTCAATATTTCATCACAATTTTCCACAGAAATAATGTGGCCGTAAACTTTGGAGCAAAAGCGTACTTTTGTATTTTTTTGCGTCATAAATAAAAGATTTAAAAATCGCGTGAAATATACTGTGTGCGATGTAATCAGATATAAAATGTGCGTATTACGAAATATTATTTGTATAAGAGGTATTTAGGGCAACAACGACTTGGGGTAAATAAATGTGATAAAGTATCGCTGTTTGCACAAAAAGAAAAATTGCAATTAATTTATACTGTAAAACATATACTATGGACTATTGAGAAAATTTACAATTCTGTACAAAATTTAGGCTCAATTACTAATAGTGAACACTTAAGAACAAATAAGTGAAAATCATCAATGGATGTAGCTGTATAATAATATGTCAACAAATATTTCGACTATTTGTTATATGTTCGAATACAGATAATTAATCATAGTAGGATTGTACATGTACAATGGGTTGCCATCCATTTAGAAAAAAAGCATATAACTAGTTGAAAGAGGCATTTTGCCTTGAGGCAAGTTCCACAAACTTCCCGAAATGTGTAATAATTGACTTAATCAAACGAATTTGAGATTTAGACATTTAGATAAAATTTTCAACTGCATGATTATGTATATCATGTACGTAGTCCCTGATATTATTTAATGATTTAAAAAAATGGTAACATTTTTTACATATCTAGATAAGTTTTGTGGAATTATTTTTCCGCTAAATCAAAAAACTGGCTTTTAAATTTGTGATATTCAAGTTTTTTTAACTCATCACATCACAAACTTTGATATGCTCTTTCATTTTTAAACTTTTATGAGTTTTTAAGGGCCGTAAAATTTTAGCATGTTTTTTAGGGTCACGATGTCTATCAACATAAAGAATTTCATCAAAAATAATTTCAACAGTTAATTACGAAGAAACGGCTCGGCCGATCTTCACCCAAAACTAATCAGCACGGTTTGAAAATAAAATTCTTCGAATAATTTTTGAATTTTTATAATCAAGTCAGAAAATTTGGCTCAAACGTGGACAAAAACTATTCACTTTTCACTCAATTACTAAGAAGCGGCTCGGCAGATCGTCTCAAAACCGCCAAACGATAGTACTCATTGAGATACATCAAATGCCTTTTAAATTTCTGAAATCGGTTCAGGCGTTTTTGAGAAAACGTCGATCAAAGATTTAATGTTGACAAATACCAAAAAAAAACGATACTAATTTTCGCAACCTTTGAAAATTTTCTAAAATTAAACGGCTTGTCGTAGGGCCGTAATATTTTAGTATGATCAAGTAGAAGACTATAGTATCTACCATCAAAAAAAATCATAAAAATCGTCTCAATTTTTTTTAAAAAAACTTTATTACAAGAAAACGGTCCGGCTGATATTTACCAAAAACTAATCAGCACGATTCCTAACCAATATCTATCGATCGGTTTTTGAATTTTCAAAATCGATTCAGAATTGCGGGCTAAAACGTGGACGAATAATTTTTCACTTTTCTGCAATTTACAAAAAAACCGTTCGGCTGATCGTCGCGAAAACTCAGAAAAATCTGTTCACACACACACTTCTTCCAAATTTAGTCTCATTCGATTCAGAATGGCTTGAAACGTCGAGAAAACATAAAATTAGCGTGTCGGATTTTTTGATGAAACCATAATAAACTTCTCCTTCGGGAAGTTAAAACTAAATATCTTAGTATGACAGATGGTAATCCGAAATATATTTTGAAAAATTATAATGATTTACTTACAATATAAAAAACAGGAGAATATGTCCCTGCTGCACACGCTGCAGCAGAAATCATCAAACTTCTAACTGTAGGGCATCGTAAGGACGAAAAATCAATTAGAGATGCCTTAGGCTTTGTTTGGTGTGTTTTCTTTTCTTTCATCTGAAATATAAAATTGTTATAAATAATTTCAAGCTTCACACATAAAATATCAACTAATTGAAAATAATAGTAATCAAAATTTATCATCATTCTTATACAAGTTCAATTACCTTCTTAAGTAATCAGAAATAAATTCACCGCTAATGCATTTATTCTACTATTCCCTTATTTAAATTACCGCTACATTAGAATAATGAAATCTTTAAACTTCTCCAAGTATTTGTAACAGAACTAAGAGATGCATTATCTTCTTAAGGTTAATCATGGAAAATGCATTCCGTCGCTAGACCCATGGAAATCGAATGGAAATCCGAATGGAAAATAGATTTCCCGTATTCTATCCGTGGTTTATTTGTGTGGAATATATCAGGGTATTTGAAAATGTAAGCCCTGAGAGAAATTTCAAGCAGAGCAACAAGTATAAGAACAGTTGGAATTATTAGAATTACAGTTAACTATACTCAATCACGAGATAGTTTTCATTTAAATATTATTAACTTCCCGTAGGATGAGTTCTTGCAATTGTCCAAAAAATCTGCAATGGAATTTTTTGCATATCTTTACGTTTTAAAGGTTTCTGAACATGTTGGCATTCCTTAGAAAACTAGTTGGGTGTATGTCATCGTGCCTCAAGGCAAATTGCTGGAACTTCCCGTACCGTAAAAAGTGTTCAAGGAATATTAAATGTTTTCAAACAGATTATTATTAATATTGTAACATTGTCCAATATTCATAAGAATTATATAAACTAAATTGCAAAGTTGAAATTATTTGTTCAAAGTATTTTAGAACTTTAGTGACAATTAAAAATAAAATTTGAATTTTTTTCGATTTACAAAAAAAAATATTTTTAAAACAAAAAATTTGAAACAATTTTTTTTTTCCAAAATCAATCAAATCACAAGCAGAAAGTTCTCTAAATCATTCAAATCGGATGCATAGTTCTCTCAAAAACTGCCTTTTTTGCACATTTAGCCGTGTATCTTCGAAATGGCTTGACCTGCCTTTGCCAAAAAGTAATAACCACTTCTCCCAATCATAACTAATTGAATGTTTTTTAGATCATTCAAATCGGATGCTTCGTTTTCTCAGAAACTCGATTTCTATTTTCTGCACTTTTTGCTTCATATCTCCGAAACGGCTGGATCTGCCTGGACTAATCAGCACATCTGTCTATCAACAAGAATCGAATGTTTTTTGAACCATTCAAATCGGTCGATCCGTGCGCCGTGGACAAAAAATTGTATCCATACATACACACACACATCCATTTTTTCTGAGGTATGCCAAAACGTTCAGAAACCTTCAAAACGTCGAGAAATGCAAAAATTTTCAATTTCGATTTTTGGACGATTACAATAACTTAACCTACGGGAAGTTAAAAAATGGATGTATATATGTGTGTGTGTGTTTGGATACAAATTTTCAATGATTCAAAAATCATGCTTTTGTTGACAGTGTAAAGAAGCGATTAGTTTTTGGGGTCATTTTTTTTATTAAAAAACTCTAAAAACTATTTTTAGAAGAAAGTTCTAAAGCTCAGTTATATACTTCAAATAAATATCTTTAACTTTGCAATTCGGTTTATTTAATTCTTAGAAATATGAGATAAGGACCTTCATTAAAACAATAAATGAGGTCATTTACTCTAACTCCGCATGATTAAGTTTTATTTATTTACTTTTCATATGCATGAAAAAATCTGGACGTTGTCGTCCAATTTATAAGCTCTTATATTTTGTCTATAAAATACGAATAATGAAAGTTACAGTATTTATAATGCATTTATTTATTTATTTTACAAGCCGTTAGTATAGTAAATATTTTACAAATTTTCAATTTTGAGTCTAAATCCTTGCCCGCGCCTGATCTTACTTTATAATCCCAAGGTTTTACGTCGGTTTCGTTCAGTTATCTATTTTTATAGAAATTTCACTTACTTTCTTTCGTTGGTTTTTCAGATGAACAATGGCTCTTCTTTGAGGATGATATAGAGATGCAGATCTGTATAGGAGACCCAAAAAGAAGCACAAAGACACCAATAAAGTCACTACCTGCATACCCAATCTCCATCCTAGATGCCTGCAGAGAGTAAGGTAAAGGTAGAACACAGTAGGAAAAAATAAGTAATAAAATTATGTTATATAATTTATATATAAGTATATATAGTGTTAAGCTTCGAGTAATGAATGAAAAATGGCAATAAAATACCAAACAGTTTTCTAAAAAAAAGAGTGCGCGTAAGGTTCACACGCGATTGAAGTAAAACTTATTTGCTACTGTACAAGATGGCATTTAAGTTAAAATGAATACATCATATAACAATTTTGAAGAATGTTTATTAGTAATATGGTAACAGTTATTAGTGTTAATCATTATAGACATTTATGTAATGATAAAGTTCTGATCGCTGTTCAAATAAAATTATTAAAAAAATATAATGATAAATTATAAATTATATATTTATAATAGCAATAAAAATATGTATAATATTTAAAAACAATAATGTAATTAAAGTCATACTTCAAATATGGCATGATCGGTTTGTCATTGTAATTAGCATTTAGAAATGAACCTTCATTAGAGAAATGAAGTAATTGCTGATTAATAAATTCTATAATATTTGTTCACACGGTGGATTATGTTAAACAACGCCTAAACAAATATTGTTTTCGCAACTTCACTCATCATGTAATTGTATTTGAAGAACTTCATGTAATTAAAATTAACATACAGTCATTGACTGGTGGTATTTTTTTTACTTTTTCGCTGGCAATATAATCTCATTCTTTGAACAGCTCTAATATCTGTCTTGCCTAAAAATATTTTCCATTTTAATAACTTTAAAGAATTATAGAAACAATAATCTTACGTTTAGTACACGGCACAAATATTTAACTTGTTTTATTATTTTCAAGGAACAGGGTAAAATATTCTTCTGATTCAGGCATTTTTCATTAAATCAAGATTTGTACTACGATGTAAGTTTAAAATGTTTATCAATGCCGATTTGCTTGTTGATATCGGTACGCATACAACGTTGATGCCGGTACGCATACAACGACTGATCTCTATTCACATACGCGACGACTAATCACAATCGACCCGTATAGAAATGATATCATCGAGAGCCAATGACAAATCATTCGTTCTCGACTCTTATCTTATCTTATCTGCCGTAACGCACTTCCGTTGCATGTGTACGGATTTACACCATAGTCGCACCTAAAGAAGTTTTACCTCAAAAATATTATATTGCTTATATCCGAATTATGTACTCAAAAATATAATATTTTTAAGAAGATTTTAACGTTTTTAACTGATGAAATTAACGACGTTTTGGATGTGCGACTCATCTTCAAGACATCTGTCAAGAATATTATGATTTAAAAAAATAGAATGTCTATCGATTTGCAACAATTTTTCCACTGATCTACTATATTTGGCTAAATTTGTCATTTAATAGAAAAAATATTTTATGTAAATAACCGGTTTTCGAATTTCATAATATTCTCCCAAAAACCGACCTATATAATTTTTATATAAATACAGAAATTATAATTTAAAATGCATCTCTGAAATAAACCGCTCGTAATAAGCTTTAATAGAACAATGGAAATTATTTTTCCCTAATTATAGCATTTCTCTGTATAATTCGTTATCGCATGAAAAACAGCAAAATACGCAATTTAATTTCGAGAGAAAAGCAAAATAAAATGACTTAATTACTGAAATAATTTAATTCGCCGTTGCGAGAATTTATTATTTATTTCAAACTGTAAAAATACTGTTAACAATTTATAATAAAGCTCAATTTCATTTAATGCTTAAAATTATGATTTCAAATAACGACTTCATAAAATTAATGTATATTAAATAAACAATGATATATAGATTACGTGAAATTTAATTAAACCAAACTCACGTAAATTTTAATAATGATAAATATAAATATTATTATTTTCAAATGAAATATTTTCAATTTTGCATTGTTACACTATGAATTACATCAATAAATATATACCACAGTTATTGAACAATAATGCAAATTGACAACTGACTATTTCACCAAGTTGTCAGATAATAAAACATTTTAGCTAATGAATTATCATCTAATTGTGATTTACATTATGCATTTATAAATACATAGAAATTGGTATTAATTTGTGATTGATTAAAAAGCGCTTTAAATTTTCATTACACAAAGTGCAATTAAATATCGACAAATCACATTGTTGTTTAATTAAATAATTGGGGAAATTAAATAAAGTTTTATTCAGGAATTTTGTCTACATTTTATATTCATATAAACGAATTGTTAACACAAATTTCATAAATAATTGTAATTCGTATTAGCGAATATTTTGGAATTTGAAAGCGTTTCAATAATTAAAATAAAATTAATAAAATAATTTTTAGTGAACATTTATAAGTGATAATTTATATGCAATTATATTCAATTAAAATTTTTGGTAGTCAACCCAATTATTGGCTTATGTGATAACAAAAAATAAATAAAATTTGTATTCGGATAAAAATTTATTCACTAGAAACTCAAATGTAAATAATACAGGAAAAATTTATTTATTATATACGTGTTCTAAACAAATACCAGCTAAAAGCCTCACTTCTGCATAACTTTTCAAAACTCTGCTTTTTTAGTTTTACTGCCAAAATTACTTAGGGACCGATATTGCCGCATAACAGATAAGTGTTATGGCAAGGCCATATTACGCTCCAGCTTTTATAAATTATGCAACTGAATCATACTGAATACTATCAAAATATCATGTATTTGCTGTACATTCAGGCGTTTTACACATAAACTGCAACGTGACTCGCATGTTATGAAGCTAGGTCAGAAATACCCTGTTATCTAATCGTTTTTTTGACATTTGTGCGGTTTCTAGGTTAGATTTTGTATCTTCACAATATTTTGTATGGAAAGTTCAGAAACATAGCCTTGCCATAACATTTTCTGTTATGCCGCTGAATCGGTCCCTTAATATCAACTGCATTTTATTCGTATATATATTTTAACGATTGTGATTTAGTGATTTTTTTTAATCAAATTCGTTTTGATTATTTTTATACGAGTTCGAGTGGTTAAATCTATGCAGTTTTAATCAGAAGTTCCACGTCTGAAACCTGGCTCGGCCAGCCTGATGTCAAGTAGTATAAACATCGTTTTTCACTACGAAATATGAATAGAAATATATTTTCTTGCGAAATAATCCTTAGCTGAAATTAATGCGCAAATAAAAAATTCGTTACATTGAGACAGCAGTTTGGGTTGCCACCAATTAAAAAATTATAATATCGATGCTCATTAAAAAGCCAATTATAACAGTTAGTAAAGTAATATTCGTAGAATACTTTAATTCATTATTTATGAGAATTTTCATTCATTTCTCAAAATATACCAGTATTTCGTATACTTGCAATATTGTCAATCGATCTAATGAAATACGACCTAGTGTTCGGCATAAATACAGTATCGAATCGCATGCATCATATGACTATTAATGCAATTAATCATTCTGTACCGCTGTTTCCAAAATTAATATAATAAATTTATGTGGGTAGCTTTGGGGGTGCTATTTTGCAAATGTTTCACGTCGAATTAGGGTTAATTATTGATAGAAGCCACTCACCATTCGACATGACCAAATATTATAAATTGCTTTTGGGACAATTGTATAAATTGATATAAATTACTGAAGGTGAATTTGTGAAAATGCAGTGGAGACTTGAAAGATATGAAAGCATAAAAAAATTAAAATAGTGGAGTATGGCATTGTGTCTTGAGTCAATTGCTGGAACTTCCCGTACGGTAATGAAATATTCGAGGAATTTTAAATGTTTCTAAATGGATCATTATACATACTGTAACTTACATTATTTTTGGTATTTTGTTATCAAAGAATCAAGACTGTGAGCAAATCAAATGAAAATCATAAATAAAATTATCTCGAAGTTTCCAGGAACATTAACAACCGTCTTTTCATTTCTAATTCAATTTAAAAAAATAGTTGCGAATAATTTAAACAAATTTGAAAAAGCTTATGCGAAAATATTTGTACCAAGTCGTCACTTAGATTGGGCTTAGTCTGGGTAATTTTGTGAATTTTTAACCAAAAATTACATTTCATATTTGAATCATTTTCAATATTCAATTTTTTTTTAAATTGCCTTTTTCAAAAACTTACTTCTTAATGTCAACTTTAGAATTTTGAATTATATAAATTCGATGCTTCGTTCTCTTAACTACGATTTTTAGCTGCGTATCTCCGAAACGGCTGGACTTGCTCTTGCTAAAAACTAATTACCACGACTCTCCATTATTGCGAATTTAATATTTTTTGATCATTCGAATCGGACAGTTTGTGTTTTTAAAAACTTGATTTGTGTTTTCTGCACTTTTTGTAAAAATTGTATCCACACAAAAGACACACGCACACATGAATCCGTTTTTTCCTAAAGTACGTCAAAGTGTTTAGAAAGCTTTAAACCTAAAGAAACACAAGATTTTTATTTTCGAATTCCCGAAGATTACTTACCCTACGGGAAATCAATACATGTTTTGAAAATCTAGAACAAGTTAGAAAGATATTTAGAAATCGTGCTAAATAATTTTTAGCAGACTGGATTATTATACTAGCATACCTCGAATTATTCTAAATATCTACAAATTTGAGAATATGTTTTGTTTATCTTTTCAAAAAATTACATTCCAAATAGCAAATTATCAAAGAGATGTATGCATGACGAGGAGTATACTCATATAAACACAAAATTCTGCACCTATTACCGTCTGTAGAAATTAAGTAAAATTTATCATTTTATTGAATCCTTCGTTAAAGCTTTCAGATGTTACTTATATATGATACAAATTAATCAGAAAATACTTAAGCTACATTACTTGTGTTACATTGTTCATAACTACTTCTACAAAATATAAATTGAAATCGTATCTGCAATTGCATACTGCGTTCTGGAGAAAAAAAATGCGCAACTAAACTTGGTAAATTGAATTGGAGATTATCGTTGTTCAGACTTTTGATTAAATATATATATATATATATATATATATATATATATATATATATATAAATGTATATGATAGTTAAGTAATCCAGATTTAAAAAATCTTCAGCCTCCGTGCAATTTACTTTCCCAATACCTGATCAAAAGCAATTCCTGCTATTCATGTGAGCCATTTCATCATCGGCGCATTATTGTCGGCCCCAATTCCAATAGCTTAAATTTCTATGCGAGAATCCGAAGTCGTGGAATCGCGAGGTCGCACAATGGACCACTCCGACACCACAGTCAGCCCAATACAAAATTCTTGGCATACTTATTCGATGCATATTACATTTTACATCGAATTTTAGAATACATTTTTCCTTAGTTATATCTTGATAAAATTTACAATTATTATATTCAAAACTAAAGGAGTATAATTAGTGATATTTTGTAAATTTTTGTTTGTTTGTTGGCAGACAAGAGCCTGTACTATATCTCTCCACCACTACTCGAGAAGAGTTTTAGTAATATTTATAATGTAATGCTTGAAAAAAATCTCACCCGACAGCTTCTCGATTTACAACCGAAAATAATGCAACTCCAACTCCTCCTCCTGCCATGGCAACCATTTCGACAAATTCGCGACGTCTTCTAAAATATTGGCCCAGCATTAGAAGTGCACTTTCACGAACCATTCCTGCACCTACGCCTAACATCACACCTGAAAAATTAACATTAGTATTCAACATTAATGTGAAATTATGCTGTGAAATCACACTATTATAATTTTCTTAATCGAAAATTTTTGTCATATCTTGCTTTTTTGTTTTTGCAAGGGTGAAAAGGCATCTTAAGCTCATAGAAAGTTATGAGCTGTTTATGGTGACGAAGTCTTAAAAAATCGGCAGCGTTAAAAGTGGTTTGCTAATTTTTGTCCTGGTTATTTTTCACTTAAAGATGAGAAATGCACTGGTCATACAGTTGAAGTTGGTAATAAATTGTCTACTTTTACTCTTACAAGCCAACCAATCAATTCTGATTTCTGCATTAAAAAACTAACTAAATTAACGCAATAAAGTAGAATAAAAGAAAAGTCGAATTATCAATTGAAAACTATTTTTGACATCACACAAATTTGGCTAACTGACATAAATTTCTGGACCTTGGTCCAGACCTCGCACCTTCTTAATATTTTTTGTTTCGATCATTATAAAACTCCTTCAATTTTCAACGATACAATAGAAGTTTTATGAAAGATGTCAAATTGTACTAATTGCTTGAAAGCAAACACAAAGTCATTGACCAAAATATCCACTATATTCCAGAATCCTGTTATTTAGTTCCATAAAAAATGTCTTCGATTTTCTAACAACAAATCCGCACTTACTTAGTTTGAAACCTAATATTATTGTTATATAAGTTACCGGAGTCAAAGCAAAATTATACATTTTTCCTCATTTTAAAAAGAAGGCGAACAAGTATTTAAATATTTGAACTCAAGTCTGCAAGACTTTTTGAATCAAATGAATCTTTCATGCGTTTCGTGTGTTTGTTCTGTCTGTAGATATCTTACTTTTGCGAATTATTCTGACTTTTATACTCCTGCATTTGGAATAATCTCAAAGTCAGTGCTTTGTATTCCTTATAGTTGGGCAGCTGTGAATTCAAAGCAATTGAGTAGAATATTATCGCAGCATGTGACCGCAGAGAGCAAATGCATTTATACATAGTACCACGAATTTGCATACAAACCAGAATATATAACAATTACTATTCGAAGTGCACACTGAGGGAAAGATAGCTGAATAATAAAAATTTTGTGTAATAAAAGTTTATATACTTGTACATTATGAAAATCCTCGACTAAAACATGAAATTTTTTAGCAAAACTGAAATAAATATATTATTTGTAATATTATATTTTATTACCGTAGCTTAGTGCAAGTTGATGCAGTTTTGTCGCAAATGATGCGAAAAGGCATGCCAGTGCAGCTACAAGTCCTCCAAGAACTGCTGTCAACCTGGTAGATTTACGTCTGCAAACTGCAACCACCAGAGGTGATACCAGTAAAGATACTGCACAACTCAGAGGTCCTAACCATGCTGAAATCATAAGGTATATTCGAAATGAAGAAATAAGAACATAATGATTTAGTCCTAAATAAACATATATTTCAATATTTGTTACTTATTCTGAATTTGACTTGAACCTACTACCTAAAGTAAAATTAGCAAATTATTCAAGATATAATTAAATTCGATTCAGTCAGTTTGATCATACACATACGAAATATTTTAGAACTGGAATAACTTTCAACTCATTATTACATCTTCTATTAAAATTTGGTTAGATATACAAAAATTTAGTACCACGTAATTTAGAAATAGCTTAAAATATTATATTACAATCCTTTTATTTAAATTTAGGTATAAAAATTCAGATGTTAGAGCTAACATTTAACTCACAGACTCTCCAAAATAATATTCAAAATGCTTGTATAGATTTGGAAGCTTTATTCATTCATGAGAATTTTTCCAATTATTAACTTCCGTAAGTTATATTATAGTAATCGTTCATAAATAAAAAAATAAAATGTTTGCATATTTTCAGATTTCGAAGATTTTTGAACATTCTCCATACCTTAGGAAAAATGCATGTAATAATGGATACAAAATTTCGTTTATAATTTTGGGTGCAAGGATCAACCGATACAAATAATTAAAAAAAATCGATTCCTACTGATGAATAATCGTGCTGATTAGTTTTCGGCAAAGGCAGGTCTAGTCGTTTTGGAGATATAGAGCAAAGAATGCAGAAAATAGAAATTGAGTTTTTGAGCGAACAGATCATCCGATTTGATTGATTCAGAAAACGTTCAATTCGTATTGATGGGGAGAAGTGATGATTCGTTTTTGGCTAAGACAGGTTCAGCCCTTTTTGGAAAAACGGAGCTACTAAATGTGCTACAAATTGTAGTTTTTGAGTGAACGATTTGATTGATTTAAAAAACTTTTAGCTTCTATTGACCATGTGAAGAAAACGATCAGATTTTCGGGAAAAGAAAAAAAAATATTTCAAAATTTCCATAGTTTTTTTTTCGATATCAAAAATGATTCAGATTTAAATTCAAATTTTAGCTCAGATTCTAAAGCTTACTTATATCGAACACTTACTTATAATCGGATGCTTAGTTCACTCAAAAACGGCCATTTTTTACACATTGAGCTTCGTATCTCTGAAACGGCTAGAGCTGTCTTTGCAAAAAACTAATCACCACTTCTCCTCATTATTACGATTTGAATTGTTTTTGAATCATTTGGTTTGTTTTCTAAAAAAAGTCGAATTCTATTTCTTTCTTTGCGTTAACTCCAAAACGGCTAGACATGCCTTTGCCGGAAAACTAATCAACATATCTCCCCTTCAATGCAAATCGATCGTTTATTGAATTATTTAAATTAGTTGATTTTTGCGCCAAAAAACGTGTACAAAAAATTACATACATATACACACACTGTGTATGTTCAGAAACCTTTAAAACTTGATTTTTAAAGAGCTTGATTTTTGAATGATTACAATAACTTACCTTATGGGAAATAGTATGCAAGTAATTGGAGATAATATTGGAGACAATACAAAAATAGACTAATTTTTGACAGGGTTTAATGACTGTTTTATTTGATGTTCGACTCTGAATTCCATCTCTCTACACACATCTATAAATCTATATAAAATGTATCTGAATCTATTCTATCACCTGTATCAGACCGAACATGTCTATCAGCATGCATCCCTATGTAGCCGTACGACAGTTGCAATCCGGCGCAGAGCACGTGGGCCAAAAATGCTGCTCCGCATACCAACCAGCCCCATCCTCCTTCTGGATAGAAGTGTTGCCTGATAGCACCGGTATCTAGGTCTGCACGCAGCAGGGCTGGTACGTTGCGGTGCAGGGAACGCAGATCTCGCTCGCATAAGGCTCGGCAGGTCGATTCGTCGTCTTCGAGGGCTCTGGTTATAGCTGGAAAAAAATAATTTGGTTGATATAGTATTTTAGATTTTTTTTATAGTAATTGAGAATAGATTACAGCTTCGGAGTTCTACAAGATGTCGTGATGATTTTTTTAACTAACTCCGCTTGTTTTATTAATAAGAAATCTAATCAGTTGTCCCAATTTTATGTCATAAATTATTATTATAATTTCTTTTTATTTAGAAGAATGCCTACATTTAATATGTAGTGAGATGGTTTATTATTATTTCAGATAATATTGGATTTATCTGAATTTACATAAATAAAAACTAAACAGGTTAGGGGGCGTCCATTAATCACGTGATCGATTACTTCTTGAAGATTTGGGGACCCGCCTCCTTCTTGCATGGTGATAAGTGGTGATATTTAAAACTACCCATTCTCCTCCACCAAACATCACGTGTATTTTTAGTTACGAGAAAAAATTGTACAATATTTGATTTTTTTTTTGAAAATGTTTGGATTAAAAAAAAATTGTGTAAAAAATCCATACACGTGATATCTTATTATACACCTCCCTCTCCGATGTAATTTTCAAAGGTGATTACATTACATTTTTCTTTATTATTTCGCTTAGTATTTCGTTTTTATCACTTAAAATTAGAATGTTGGAATGTTGGTTTAATATTTAGTTTTTATCACGTAAAATTAGAAATGGTATTAGAATAGCTATATTATTTTTTTCAATAAACGGCTAATACATTGTGCACCATTAATATGTGGTCAATGGAAAAAGCGAAGTTTTGTTTGTGCAATGAAAAGGGTCCGTTGATAGATGTTGTTTCTCGAAAATAGGTGGAAAAAATGGTAAGGCTTTAAATTAATAAAGAACGTTTATCTAAATTCATCCAAAATTGTTATTCAACATTTTCATTGACCACATATAAATGGCGCACCCTGTTGGTGTTATCAAAATTTCCCATCATTTTTTTTTTTAATATTTAATTATATGTTCATTTTCAAATCTTCAGGTGCTTTATATCTATTTCTTTGATTATAATACTTATGTTAGTGAATAATTAATTAAATTCAAGTTCAAAACATTTTAAAGTTTAGGACTTCAAATCTCAGGTGACTGGGACATCTAAAAATTTAAAAAATATTTATATATATATATATATATATATATATATATATATATATTTATATATATATACAAAAATATATTTGTAGATGTATATATATTTTGTGGGAAGTAGTCCAATATTTTGTAGGAAGTACATTGATATAGTTCCATCCATCATCTGTACTATCTCTTTTGCCCAAGATTCCAGACATTTATAATAATATATTAGAAAATTCAATGATATGCAATTTTGATATTTAAATTATTCATAATGTTTAATAATGTAATAAGTTTAATTATAATTTTACATAATTACTGTGTAACTTTATATGTGTGCTACTTTAATTATCACATGAAGTATGTTTTTATAGTTTCGCTGCATTAAAATTATAAATAATAATAATTAATTGCGTTGAAATTATAAATATAATTTAAGTTTCTAATATGATGTGCTAAATTTGTTGCGAACTATGAACAAAATGAATAAAATATTATTTTAAATTCATCAGTGTTTAACTTAACTAAATAAAATATGATCTCGAAAATTATAAATAATATCCATTACTTGTTATATCGAATTTGAAATTTTCTTTTGTATCTTACAAGTTATACTAAATAGCTATTGATTGGGTAATCACTGTTATAATAAAAAATATTATTAATATTATTATAATATGCACTATTATAAGTATTATTATAATATGCACAAGAATATACATATATATTATATACACACTTTCTTCTACAATATTGGTAAAATAATTAAACAAAATATCATATCATAACCTAAAAAATGAACTTATATAATTATAATGAGGCAAGGATATATTCATAATATACGTATCTTTTGCTAAAAATATGTAATTATAATTACAAAATTAAAATACTCATAGAAGTAAAAATAATTTAACTTTAAAAATTGTGTGTAATAAATTTATAAAAAACTACGAATAAAACTGATGAAATAAAAATTATACTTAAAACTCTGAAAACAATGTTTATATTACATGGAAATATCGGATTGATAATCCAACACTTTTCTTTAATTACTAGGTATATCAAGTTTTTCACACTCTCGCAAATATTATTAATGATTTAGTACGTATTATAATTTTGACACGAACATTCTATTATAGTAATAATATGAATAAGATTATACTCTTACGTATATCCGTATAAGTACGTTTTTTTTTCAAAAATGATAATGTGAAAAATTCGAAAACAATTTAAATAAGGAAATATTTTATTATATATAAATCATTAAGTTTACCGACAACAATTTATTGGTAATTAAATAGTTTATACAAAATTAAACAACCGGAACAAATAGTAATATATTTATATATATATATATATATATATATATATATATATAATATAATTAAGAAAGATTATTTTAAGGAATATTTATTATCACACAAATAATTAACTTAACAGATGTAAATATATTTCAACTTTTAAACTGGATATGCCAAATTTACCTACAGAAAATTAAGAATAAAACTGATACAATTTAAATTTTGCAAATGGCGTTTATATTATCTAAAGAAAATTTTGGAAATAATATGGAAATCAAACATCATTCTTCTACAGTACTTGTTATATGGTGTTTCAATTTTTTGCACATTAAAATATTGTTTTGAAAATACATAATCCTTTAATAATTTATCTAAGTATCACTAAATAGATACTAATTAGATAAATACTATATTTATGTTAAACAACCACCTAATAAAATTCTAATATGCGTAAGGACATATCATAATATGAAGAATTAAGAATTCAAAATTGCCGGCAATTGTCAAAGGATTACACTGTTGCATGAATTGTCAAGTGCTGCCAAAATATCAACTATGAACAATTATTCGTCACCTTTAGTTTCCTTCGGTCGTTCGGTCGAGAAGGACGTGTTTACCATGTCCTCGGGAGTGAAATTATGCCATTGTTCAAGGTCATGCATGAGATCGACATTGCAATACGAAGTAGTAATACACATTTCTTACAGTACGTACAATTTATTAGATTACAATTAGGATTTGTTTTATAATAATTATAATATATTGGGTATCAAGCAAAATGATACTATTATTAGATATATAAATATATAGGAATTACTCGTGATAATATACACGTAGAACTTTTATGCTTCACAATATGTCTGACACGTGGTTTGCGTGAATATCAATTTAGATAAATGATACAAATATTAGGTAACTAGTTCCAACTTGGTTAGTTACACATGGTATCAAGGAGTGTTTTTAATGAATTTAAAACAAGAAAAATTATAACCCTAGTTAAAATTATTATTTTTGAAACGTAGATTAAATTAAATGCTTTTGCATATTTGTATTACATTTATGCATGCTTATACATAATATGTATACGCATGCATATACTATATATGCAATATATTATGCTGAATTAAATTTCTTCAAAAAAATCATTGTTTAGTACTAAAGTCGTTTTTGCATGAGTAGGAAATATTCAGACATTATAATACAAACTAGGCGTAAGGGGCATTTTGCCTTAAGGCAAGTTGCGCGAACTTTGCGACACGTGTAAATAATGATCTAGTACTTTATATATTAATTGATAAGTGATTATTTAAGCTGTAATTTTCGAAAATATTGCAGGTTATTCAATTACGTAAAAAAAAATCAAACGTTTTACTTATTTTTGATAGTTTGTTTAGGACATAGGACATTAAATTTCGAATTAGGTGTAAGAGGCATTTTTCCTCAAGACAAATTGCGTACTTGACTTGTGTAAAGATTAAAATAATTCTATATTAATTCATGAGTGATTTAGGGCTGCTGCTGTAATTTGCGAAAATATTGCAGGTTATTCAATTTTATAAAAACAATCAAACTTTTGAGTTATATCCGATAGATTGTTTAAGACATGTGACATTAAAATTCGAATTAGGTGTAAGGGAAATTTTGCCTCAAGGCAAGTTGCCTAACCTTTCCGACATGTGCAAATAATCATTAAGAAATTTCTATATTAATCCATGAGTGATTTATAAGGATACCTATTTGCTATAAGGTTGTTGCTGTAATTTGCGAAAATATTACAGATTATTCAATTTTGTAAAATGAATCAAACATGTTAGTTATTTCCGATAGATTGTTTAGGACATAGGACATTATAATTCAAACTAGGTGTAAGGGGCATTTTCCCTTAAGGCAAGTTGCATGAACTTTTCGACTTGTGTAAATATTTATTAAGGAATTTATATATTAATTCATGAGTGACTTATAAGTATACCGAGTTGCTATACGATTGCTGTTATAATTTGTAAAACTATTGCAGGCTATTTAATTTTGTAAAAAAATCAAACATTTTAGTTATTTTCGATAGATTGTTAAGAACATAGGACATTATAATTCAAATTAGGTGCAAGGGGCATTATCCTTAAGGCAAGTTGCGTGAACTTCCCGACTCGTGTAAATATTTGTTAAGGAATTTATATATTAATTCATGAGGGATTTATAAGTATATCGAGTTGTTTTAGGGCTGCTGCTTGTAATTTTCGAAAATATTGCAGGTTATTCAATTTTGTAAAAAAAATCCAAACATTTTAGTTATTTTCGATAGATTGTTTAAGACATATGGCATTAAAATTCGAATTCACGAAAAAGCGGCCTGGCCGATCTTTGTCCAAAACTAATCAGCGCGATTCCCAAATAATATCCTAAACATAGTATTATAATGGCTAAAACGCGATGGACAAATTTTTCACTCTTCTGATAATTTTGAAGAAACGGCTCTGCCGACCGTATCGAGAAACTAGCCGACGTGAATGCTTGAATACTTTCATTGAATATCTTATACATTTTTGAAATCGGTGCAGCCGTTTTAGGGAAAACGTAACCAAAAGATCACAAAATCATTGGATTGGATTCAGAATGACTTAAAACGTCGAGAAAACACAAAATTAGCAAATTGAATTGAATTGAATTGAAATTAATGCATAAAAAAGTGCATAATATCAGAACCGACTAGGTTGATAATTCATGCTATTTGCATACGCGATTTCAATTAACTTGTTACTAACAAAATCTAATTAATGTTTTTGATATTTTAAACAAAGATTTAGAGTTAAATAAGATCTTTCACATTTGTCCTATAAATATAAATTATATATTGGATGGTTTTGGATTAGATTTCGGTTGGATTGTATCGTTTGTAATCCTAGTAATTATGTATTATAAATCGTTTTTGCTGAGTGAATAATACAGATAATATTCAGAACAAAAAGTTAGGTAAAATAACATTTTTACAGTAGGAAAGGCACAGGCTTGCTTGCATATAATGTTGCATACTGCATTTCATGAGCATATTTCAGCATGTCAAGGTCATATTTGTTTGTGTCTGAATTTTGGACAAGAACTACAATGAATAGAACTAGAACATTGTCGATTTACTTGTATTTCATTTTTGATAATTTAATATTACATATTAAGGGTTTAATTTTTATCATAGATGGACAGATTGCATCATAATATTGAGTTAAAACCTTCGGTACGAACGGCCTATACACTTCTTATTTGGCATAAGGCAGCATTTCGATCTTAAGTTTAGAATATATCATATTATTATTATTACTTAATTATATATTATTAACTCCAGATAGAACGGTATTTGCACTTTTTCGAGGCGTACATGCAGACTTTTGTACTTTTTTATTAGGTACTTTTGCTATGGAAATTTTGAAAATTGAAGACTGTTTGTTTCTAAACCAGAGTTTTATATGTTCTAACAAAAGACAAATAAAAAATCACTGGTTAAGTAAGCATAATGCTATTCTAGGATTGGATTATGACAAAAGTAATAATGTAAATGATTTTTTTGGTTTCAGATTTCAAAGTGTTAAATGTGAATAAGTGTTTAGTGAGTTCATCCATCCTCAGCGTGTTAAATACGAATAAGTGCTTAAGAGTGCACTAAGAGTCGGATTTCTACTGATATCAAGGTAAGTCATTTTGATTAAATTTTTTTCTTAATCTCTCAAATCAATATTGTTACGTAGAACATGTTCTGATATTAATTTCATATTAATCTCGTAATAGAATCTCGCCATTTAAAATATTATGAACAACTTGGTCTAAAACTTAAATATAGCCAAAATTTGGCATACTGAATAGTGAAGTTTCTGCAATCATTTGCTTATCATTACTTTTAATTGTATTCTTATTAAGAGAAATATTTTTGAAATTGAATAACAATCTTAGTATCAAGTTTTATGGACATTTCATTTGAGTTAAGACTAACGATGCATTTTCCGAAAGGTATTTAAAATTATTTTTTGTGTAAGATTGGGTTAGTTTGAGAATTTTAAAAATTGTAAAATTGTATGGTGGTCCAAGTGGTACATGACGGTTAAAGAATATTGATAGTGCAGAAATCAATCAAAATTTCTTAAATCGGTAAAAAATGTATAATACAGGAACATAATTAAGAAAACTTGTTACGTTCGTGCATAGTTGACGTTTAGTTACAGAATCAAGGTATGGTTTTAATTGATTCTTTAAGTAAAAATTAAAATCGCCATTAGAATGAGATTATAAATAACTTTTTCTTTTTCTATTATTCTATTCCTAAGAATGATTTACATTCCAATATTTCCTCTGGTAGCAGATTTGGCCATGCGACCGTACTAAAGTGTTTCAGATCAGGTCGTTTTATTACGCAATAAATAAAAAAGATAAAAAAGTTTTATGCCTTTTGTTATAAAAATCTCTTAAACTCTTTTGAGTGGCGTTGAATCTTAGCACGAATTTGGCCGGTAATTCATAAAACTTTGTGTGTTATTTTGACAATGTGGAGCTCTCGTAAAAGTTTATTTATTATTCATGAAGAATCGGTAAGCTTAGGGTTTCTGTATCGATAATTTTGGACCAAATATTTTTTTGAGACTTGTTGGTTTAGCAGTTTGAGTCAACTTGTATAATTCGATTTTATTAATCTTTTTCTCACCTGGTATGACTGTCGGATATGTGTTCTGCGTCTCCATCTGCCCTCTCTCTGCTCTGCCCAAGCTGCCGTTCCTCTGGCATCGGCACCTGGAGCATGTGCTCCTGGTCGATCTGGTCCTGGTGAGCAGTGGCGGCGGCGGAGCAGGCGGAGGAGATGGTGATTGACTTGGGCTGGACCAACCGCCACAGCCATCGGGCCTCATAATATTCAAATATGTTGCCTCGATGAATTATTTTCAGCTACCTGAGGCACATTTTTAACGTAGCCCTGCCCTTCAGCGATCAAAACACTTTAAACGTAGTTTTTGCACTAGCATTTTTGATTTTTTTTAAGTATTTTTTATTAAGCTTCACAACACCGTTATCTCACATTTTTTTAAAGTATTTTTTTTGAGTCAAAGTTGTGAGTGAATATAACTTTGCTATTTGTCTTCTAATTGAACCATTGATTTTTTTTTAATTTATCTTTCCTAAATTGTAGTAAAAAAATAATTTATTTACTGTTTGCACCAATTTTTACGATTCTTAATTATTACAGCACTTATTCCATATAATAACAATTACAAAAAAATGTTTGCATTGATAAATAGAAATAAATTTGATGATTAAAAAACGTACAATATTCTGTACGTAAGTAATGTTTTTAATTATGTTTAGAAAGTCCATTTCGAAATTTAATATCACTTGTACTTTCTGATAATTAGTCAGTTTTTGCCTACATATTGGTATTTTGGTGGAAAAGTTTAGTTGATACTTGAGCAAATAGTGATCCTCTGCTCAAAAATAAATATACTTAACACTCTAAGCTCCGAATAAATTTTAAATTATATTTCAAACAGTATAGTTTGTGTATATTTTTTAAAACTACTTAAAATTTACTAAAATCCATTTAAAAACGTTATATTAACTTGCATAGTAAAATTTTGAATAATTCGTAGTTGAAATGCGAACTGTAAAATTTCCATAATTTGCAATAACTGGATTTAGAAGAGTAGAAGAACTAATATAGTTATTTTTCTTCAAATAACTCTCAATTTTAATTTCGTGCATTATGATTTATTAACTATAAGTAAAAATTAAATGGACAAATCTTGTCAATCAATTAGTAAATCAATAAACTTTACTAAAAATTTGATAAAAACTTACGGATTTTGGATATTAAAATGTTGAATAATTTGTGGTTGTAATACGGACTTTAGTATTTTAATAATTTGCAGTATATTGATTTAGAACATTTTTTACATTGTTGCAAATATTTCTTAATTTTTATTTCGAACTTTATAATTTGTTTGCATGAGTAAAAACTAGAAAAAATTTACTAACATTTAGTTAAAACTGTTATGTACACTTAGATATTGAAATTTTGAATAATTTGTGGTTAAAATGCAGACTTTAGTATTTTGATAATTTGAAACTACTATAGTAGTTGAAACTACTATACGAGTATACTCTTAGATATTAAAATCTTGAATATTTCGTAGTTGAAATACTGACATAAGTATATTATTGATAATTTACAATATATTGATTTTGAATTTTTTATTACATTTCTTCAAATAGCTTTTCATTTTTATTTCAAATATTATAAATTGTTCACGTTAATGAAAACTTATTTTTTTTTTTACTAAAATCTAGTAAAAACTGCTATAATATAGAATTACTGAATGCCTTTTAATTATAAGACAGATTGTGATATAAATATTAATAAATAATAAATTTTATATACACTAGAAGGTATTTGATTTCCGGTTCGATTAGTAGAATTCAAATTTTACAATTTATGTTTAACGCGAGTTTTATGCAAAACCTAGTTGTAATCTAGTGTATATAAAATTTATTATTCATTAATATAATATTATAATCTGTCTTATAATTAAAAGACATTCAGTAATTATTCTGAGACTTTACATAGCTATAATGTTTTTAGTGAACTTAATTTTTATTAACAAAGTTTCGGTTCATATAATTTTTTTAGCAACATTAATCTAAAATTAATCAAACATGTCTCTTTGATATCCAAAAAATCCATATACCACCTTTACTTTGTTTGTATATTTTCATTCAAAAGCAGTACATGATTTATTCTCCCCATAAATCACATACGGTTACATAATATAGTGATATTTCACAGTTATATTTGTGCAGCAGCAAATCTAGCGGCAATGGCTTGCGGCAGATTTGCCGTCGTTTAATCGCTTTTCGAATAAAATTTATAGCCTGTTCCTGTAAATGACGTTCGTACCGAATATCCGATTCGATTGCAATTCGAGTGTTTTATCGACCTATCTTTCAATTGACTGTCTGTCCGTCCGTCCGTCTATTTGGCTATAGGAATATATAGAACTAATGGTCAAGAATTTATTGCTACGATATTGATGAAAATTACAAATTTCAAATGTTAAATTGATTGTTTTGAGATAATGGTTTGATTGTTGACAATACATTGTCTTATATGATAAAACAGTTGTGTTCAGATTTTGGTCGAGAATGTTTGCAAGTAGAAGTAAATATACATATGTAATTAGCATGTTTATATTATAATGGATAAATGTTAGAGGGTTTTTTAGTTTTTTAGTCTATTTTAAAAACTGTGCTGAAGAAACCATAGCTTGAAGGTAAATTTGGAGACAGCGAAATATTCAATCTATTTTTATCTCTGTAATGGGTAAATGTTAGCCGGTTTTTAGTTTATTAGGTCATTTCAGAAACTTTGCTGAAGTTAAATTTTGAGCCAGCAAAATTTTCAATATTTTTTTATCTCCAATATTTAGCTTATTGTATTGAAAAAGCACAGTAAATATTCATCAATTTAGTTCAGTTATAAATCATACACAAATTTTATTATTTGGTTATAGGCGACACCAAATTTTATCATTTGGTTTCATATTCTTACTTAAGGGAGCACAAAAGTTTTTCATTTTATTACTAAACATTTTTTTTATTTTCGTGGTTTTTTCTGTTTGGCACTTGCTCATTGATGACACACATAAGGTATCGAAACGTACAACAAATTAAGTTCAGATATTCATCGTTTTTTTATTTCAACAATTTGGCTGAAATTTAACATTTGAAGCTTTTTTCTCAGGTTTTTTCGTAGAAAATCAGGCAATCTTCACGAAAATTTTACTTTTTGAATAGTATTGTAAAAATTAATAATCGTCCTCTACAAAATACAAATTACAATTTCAATAAGAGTTTTTTTGTTCATTTATTAGTTTTTTTGTTATTACGAATAAAAAGTAAAATTATGGCCTAAGTCGATCAAAATTTTATTTTTTATATTTCAAACTGAATTCTCGAATAGTCTAAAAATATTAAGATAGATTTTTTAATAATTGAAAAAAATTACAATCAGAAGGGCTTTTTTTTATTTTTTAGATTTTTTTGCATTCTGGAAGTGAAAATGGTTAATATGTGGGTAATGCTGACGAAAACTTTACTTATACATATAATAACCAAGGCTCTGCGTTACTTCAGGTGGTAATTCTTTAATAAAATAATCAGCGTTAATTGTTTAATATTTTTTTGGATTTTCTTGACTTTTAAGAAGAAAGTTTAATAACGTAAACTCAAATTTTAAATAGCACATTTTGATAAACCTTGATTTTATAATTGAAAAGTGGAAGAAAAAATGGTCCATTGCTTTTTAATACAAAACCCGAAATATTGAAAAAGTATTGGCTTGTAATTCACTTTCGAGTTACGGATTTTTCCATAACGTTCAATACAGATGAATTAATTTTAATAAGTAATTATTAAGTTATTTGATTTTAATATATTTTAAATTAATCACTCATTTCTTATGTGTTCAGTTTCATATAAAATTATAGAAATAATTTATATAGTTTGAAACTAATTGAATAGATCATTAGAAGAATTTGAATGTTTAAGTGAGTTTAATCGATTAGAAACATTAACTCTACCAAATCAAGGTTTTTCTAAAACCAGAGTGTACATGGATTGAATTATTTTTGAAATTGCTAAAAAATATTTTTGCATTGCTATTTATCGTTACGATTCGCTGCTTTTACGCAAAATCCGAAACAACAATTTGCACTTAATAACGACCGCGTATAATATAGGTTTTCTTATTTTGATTCAGTTTTATTACTTTTCCATTGTTCTTCAAAAATAATTTAACGAATAGAATACTCTCACAAGTTTTGAATATAAGGCGATTTAGTGTACGAAATTTAAAAAATTGGTTGGGTGATTTGTATCGACTATATTGCAACATGCAGATATACCTAGAAATATATATTGCAACATAAATTTTTTAATTTAGTTAGTTCTAGTTTTTTGTATTAATTTTTTTTGTTTATAATGAAAACTATACCTTAATTACGAAATGCACTTTATCTAATTCTCTTTTTCCTTCACAAAACTTGTTTTAAATTTTCCACATTATTCACTTTGTATTATCTGGAAACTTTATGCAACTTTTTAAAACACGAGCACTGCACACTTTTCACTGCACCCACTACTTGCATCACCACGTTCCATCTGAAACAAAAACAGAAAAAAATTAATAAAATATTATATTAGAATTTCTAAATGGAATGAACAAATAAAAGAATTGGAAGTTGCTAAGTTGAAACCAAGTAAAATAAAAATATTACTTTTGTGATTTCAAAATCACACTAATATTATCATTTCATTATCACTTCACGATCATTATAGATTCAACTTCACTTTTTCAAAATGTAGATTTAAGTGGCATTATGTCTTTAGGCAAGTTGCATTTATAGTAGACAGTTAACTAAATAAAAGATCCATCATGAATAGTTAGGAAAAAAAATTGAACTTCCATATTCAGTTAACCATCTATTCCTCAACTGCAAGATCATCCCGCAGAATAGTGTGTGCATTTGTGCGAATAGTTTATGAATAAATTAACGATGCCTGAAAATATGTTATTTATGAAAACACGTAGAGTACGTAGTTTCCGCTAAGGAAGCTCGCAGGACTCATAATTTATGATAAGTTATTCCGGAACGAAGTGAACTTACTGGCGCGGGAAAACTCTAATGTCCGGTCGGTGGTGCTGGTGGTGCTTGGTGGTACTTGGTGGTGCTGGTGGCTGTAACATGCACCAGCCATATTTCATAATAAAATATTATAATATAATGCTGATAGTGAAAAGTGTGTGCTAAACTATAACTCGGTGAGAACTCGGTTTTTTTGAGAGAATAATCGGAACGCG